TGGACACACTCCAGTATGTCTACACCCTTCTTGTGCTGGGGGCTCCAGAGCTGGACACAGGACTCCAGGTGAGGTCCCAGCAGGGCAGAGCAGAGCAGCAGGATCACCTCCCTTCATCTGCTGGCCACAGTTCTGTTGGTGCAGCCCAGGATGTGTTTGGCCTTCTGGGCTGCAGCTGGAGCCACACTGGTGGCTCATGTCCAGTTTTCCATCCACTAGCCCTCGAATTCACCACTGCACTATTTCATCTTCTCCCTCTTTGTCACACAGAGTTAAGCAGAGGTGTGATACCTCATGTTATAGCTAGGGAAGAGGCAGCTTTTCTCATCTTCATCTTACCCAAAGACTGAAGGAAAATTGAGCTAATCATGTTCCACCATTTCAAATTCAGGCTCATTTCCCTTATCTTCTTGTTAAATCTCTGCCTGCAAGATCTAAATGCAGATAGCACTCTAGGGGAAAACAGGTTTGGTTTTTTTCCTGCACTAGAGCACGCTGGGCAATAGAGAACACTCCCTTCTGAGATGAGTGGAAGACTGTGAAATCTGTATCTTGTAATGCCTGGGTGTTTTTTAGCTTCCTATGAAGGATTTTCAATGATAAGTGGGAGCTGTTTTGAAGGCACAGGCTCTGTAAATAGCCTTGAGTAATGATCTTCACAGAGGAGCACAATGGGTGACTGGTCTTCCACCCTGTGTGCTCTGCTGAACTTTTTTCAGGTATGCACAGGATAGAAACACAAACATACTTGACTTGGGGCTTAAGTTACACTCCTGCCATACAGACTTCACAGTGGTGTCAGTCTGGGTGCTGATCCCTGCAGGATGCTCCAAGCCTGCTAACAGGTAGTGAAGGGGAGGGCACAGTTATTTGTTTCTCACTCACAGATCCTTGCACAGCACAGACTGGCAGTTGCCCTTCTGCCTTTGCAACTGGTCAGAAATGACATTTCCCCCAAAACTCTGAATGACCTCATATGCTTTTGTATAAACAAATGAATGCAGTTAGTTGTGTCTTAGTTAGTTTGTTTGGAAAGTGATCGTGCCTTGATATAGCTGTCCCAATCAATTCCCAATAAAGGGAGGTGTTTGGAGCTAATGACCTCCAAAGTGCATTCTCCTGGAGTTTCAGCATTTGTTGCTGTTTATCAGCTGACTCTAAGGGCAGTAGGAGGAAAGGTTTTCATATGCTTGAGTTCCTTGAACTTTAACTTCCTTTTTAGATTTCCTAAATGTTTATTTTGGGGGAGATTGAAAGTAAGACCCAGAGTCCTTTCCAGATGGAAGTGTTTCTTAAAGGCTGTGTAATTTTTAAGATGCCTGTGAGATCAGTTGAATTCACTTTGCCCTCTTTCACTGCTGGGCTAATAAATACATTATAAAATGCAGTCACAAAATTTGCAGGGTGTCTGAGCAGTGTTTGGCACTGATGCAGTGTGTTAGCAGTTACCCTGCTCTGTGGTGCAGGTTAAATGCAGGAGATCTTCCCTTTTTTCTCATGATCATTCAGAACTAAGCTTTTGGTGCTGTTGCAGCTTTCAGCAGTTCTCCAAACTGCTAGTTCAGCATCATAGTGTGTAACAGAAAATGTGCTCTGGTAATAGTGAGAGCATATCACCCGTGTTTCCAAGGATGTGAAATTGTTATTAAGTTCAGTAAAACACTTTTTTAGAGGCTTTTAACCAGAATATATTTGCTGAACAGGAAATCTTTCGTGGCAGTCTATGGGTTCTGTCTGAAAGAATGAGCCCTAAGTTCCCTCTTCTGTCTCCAGTTTCACTGCTGCCTCTAGGGTTATAGATAGATATTTTAAAATTATGATTATTTATGTTTTTTTTGCAGATATTCTGTGTGGCACAATATGTAAGCTCAATCAGAGGCACTAGAAGTGAGGTTTTTTTCCACCTGCTAGAAGACAAGGCTGCATCACTGGCTTCTCCTCATTAAGTGATGACAAGTGTGGTGGTTTATTTTTTTTTTAAATTCAAACCAAACTGAGAGAAGGGAGATCAGCAAAAAATAAATATTAGAGGAAATAAAAGTGCATTTTATTGTTAAGAAAAGCTTCAATAAAAATGTAGAAAATGGAAATAAAAAGCTTAGGTGAGAAACTTTGTTCTGTGGAGCTAGAAGATGCTGTTCTTCCAGACAAGCCTGTTTTCAGGAAAGCTTTATCAGTACCAGCATGGCTTAAATTCAAACCCTCTGCAGGCCTCGTGGGCCTCAGTGGCAGCAAGAGCTGGATTCTGACACTTGTCACAGCCCAGGGCAGCAGCTCCAGACCCTCTCATGTACCTCCTGGGTCACCAGCTAGGTCACAGTGCCCTACTGCTTCCTACTTAGAAAAATGAGGCTATTTGTGATAATATTATGCCCATATTAACCTTCATAATATAACAATTTGATGTATTTGGTAGAAAGAGGTCACTTTTAAAACTTATATTAGGGTTTTTTTTTTAAAAAAATGTGTCCTACATAACCTGGCTGAGTTTGCATTCACAGTTTAACATTTTTCATGGGAAAGGCTTATGGAGAAAACTGAATTTAGCCAATTTAATTCTTTTAACAAAACAGAATTCTTCATTGAATGCTTTTGTGTGCTTATGCCATGATTATGCTCATAAGCTAATGATGCATTTCCTTAGAGAGGGTGCCACAGTTTGTGTTTAGGTACTTGTGCAGTGCAGAGAAGTTGTTACAGGTCAACCAGCTGTGTTTCAAAATGAGTTAGTGTGTAACAGCACTTCAGAATGTATTTGGAATATGCTTCCATCCTTTTGATTCTAAATAAAACCCCATAATGTGTTTAACATCTTTTCTCCACTGAATAACTGAAGCTGAGTCTCTGTGGTATGGTGACATGTGTTTTCAGTCTAAAGCCTGAAAAGGAGATCAATCTTTTCATTTATATGCCAGGAGTTTTTGCAAAATTAACCTTAGAGAAAATTAATTTTTATTCCTCTCAAAGATCTGCTTATCCAGTTCCTTGCCAAACCTCACTCTGCCCATTTTTCTTTGGTCATTTTCAGAGTTTGGACACAGACAAGCCTGTGGCACCAGTGAAGAGATCACCTCTCCGTCAGGAAACCAACCTTGCCAACTTCTCCTATCGCTTCTCCATGTACAATTTGAATGGTTTGTTTGAGTTATTTACCCCCTCAAATGTTTAGGGAAAAAAAAAAACACAGCTCCAGCTTTAAAGGAGAACATTGTAAAATATGAGAGGTTTTTAAAAACTCTTCTAGCTGAGGTGAGAACATTTGCTGAAGGCAATGCATGCTGATGGCACAGAATTTTGGGTATCCTAAGGCAGTATCTCTTACAGCACGTGTCTGAGAATTGTAGTCTAGTGTTTATACAGAAATATTCATTCTGGGATCAGATCTCATGAAAGGAAAGATTAATGTTTATCTGCTAAATAGGACAAAAAAGCATCTTGCTCCATGGGACAGGATGCAGGAATATAGCTACAGAATGCTTTCACAGTGAACAAAAGTCATGGTTTTCCTTGCCTTAAAACAGCTTCCTCTGGTTGTAACAGAGGAAACCTGAATTTAAAAGCTTGAGTATGCATATAGTATTTTGTGGGTTTGTTAAAGCAGTGTCACATACCATACATTGCTTTAGCAGAGAACACTTAGCCAAACACCTACACTTCTGTGAAAAGTTGAGGCATGATACTATACAAATGTATCTTCAGATTCTGTTCACAGGACAGCATTTTAAACTCTTCAGAGATTTCTTCTGTCGGCAAATGCAAGTAACCTAAATAGTTTGGGTTTATTTTAATTGCTCTTAGATTGGTCAGGAGTAGTAGTGCAAATCAATTCCTGCTTAGCAGAGATTTTGCAGTACAGATGGGAAGACAAAACACAGCATCCTTTGCTCCCTGCCTCTGTTCAACCTGATAACTCGAAGCGAAGAGTTGCACAGACAAACGAAATAACTCTGCACGTACTGAAAACTTTTCTTTGTGTGTTGCAGAAGCCCTGAATCAGGGGGAGACTGTGGATCTAGATGCCCTCATGGCTGATCTCTGTTCCATAGAGCAGGAGCTCAGCAGCATTGGGTCCAACAACGCCGCAGTGAAGCGCCTTGCCCCGGAATGCAAAGGCCAGAAGCCCCCTGCCAGCCGCCCTCCTGCCAAGCACAGCAGCGGGAAAGGATTCTCCTCCTCCTCCTCTGGGAAGGTGCCTAAACCACCCCACGCCAACGTGTCTTTGGATGACATCACTGCCCAGTTGGAGAAGGCCTCCTTGAGCATGGACGAGGCTGCCCAGCAGTCTGTTGCAGAGGACAGCAGGGCAGCAGTGGGTGCCCAGCACAGGAGGACGGCGTCGGCCGGCACCGTGAGCGACGCCGAGCTGCGCTCCATCAGCAACTCCTCCCGCTCCAGCATCACCTCTGCAGCCTCCAGCATGGACTCCCTGGATATCGACAAGGTGGCCAGGCCTCAGGAGCTGGACTTGACATCACAAGGGCAACCCATCACTGAGGTAGGGTGTCAGTAATTCAGGATTTGGGTTTGGGTTGGTTTTCTGGGGTTTTTTTCCTTCTGCTGACACTCCTGGCCAAGCATCTGCAGTGCAGTGGGGTTGATTGAAGAGTAAGATTGCTTTTGCATGGACAACACATGCTGTGTGTTACTTCTCTTTCTGGGTTTGTTTCTGTCTGCAAGGGATCTTTTTAAAGAATGTCTGATTCTTTGTTTGGTTGGTTTTTTTTAAGGACTTTCATCATCTCTTCCTCCTCTTAAGCCAGTCATGGATTTTCTTGTTTTAGAGTTAAAGTTTTTATTATAAGCAAATCTCATATACTGCTTTTAGTTTAAATCTGAGCAGCTCACAGCTGTGCAAAAAAGAAAGTACAGCTGACAAAACTACATTCCTGTTACAGAGCACTTACTACCTGAAACACATGGAGCTATTTATGGGTGCCTACAATGTACCAGTGATTTGCTGCTACTTAATATTCTCATTTAATGTATGACAAGGAGAACTGTTTGGAGTGATCCACAAAAAAGAGCAAGAACTGGGTTGGAATAAAACAATAGCAGATGTTCATTTGGGATCTGGATGCCTTGACATTGCTTAATCAGAGAGGAAAACAATAAAAACTTCAGTAAAAACACAGCCAGTTTGGGGAACATTGAAAAGTGCTGGTGACTTGTGTGAGGAAGTGGGGAAAGTGTTCCAGTGAGTTTAGAGAACTTAAACTAGAAGTCATCTTGTAGAAAGTGTCTGAAACAGAAATCTGGCATATTCAAAAGTCAGTTGTACTGATATGTTTGTTCTCTTTTGTGAGAGAAAACTGGAACAAGCTGAGTTTATTCCAATCAATAATTAAGACTAATTTGAATGAGCTGTGCTCAAAGCATGCCTCTACCCATCTGCAGCAAAAGTCCATCTGATGTAAAGAGTGAATAATGCAGGCTTGTCAGTCTAATGATCAACTCATTAAGGTCACACTTAGATTTAAATCTTTATTTGAAATGGTGATGAATGAGTGACAGTTCAAGTAAACTTTCTGTATATAAAAAGTATATTTGTACTGGAGATTCATATTGAGGGAAGCAAAACACAGGTAGATAGAAAAGTGGCCTTTTCTTTTTGGAAAGTTAAAATGCAAACCTTTGTGTTGTTGCTGTAGGCCTGAGTGTCAGAGCCAGCCCATGACAGTCATGGATTGTATTGTTGTTTGTCAATCATTTTCTTTCTGTAGCATGACAAGCCTTTTTTTTTTTCACCTCTGACTGTTGCTCATGCTGATATATATTAATGTAGAAAGGCAATATTGCATTTTTGTCTCTTCTCAGGCTAAAAAGATGATTTACTTGAATTAATTGCTTCTGTAACTTGCACAGCACAAGAAAAACTCGAATTATGCATGTCTTATTTTTAGAAAGGCAGGATGCTCTCTCCAGTTGATTTTGCAGTTCCCCCTCTAGATCTCAGCCTCTCTTACTGCAGGAGTGATGTGCTTGAGGCATCAGTAAGATTGTGCTTGTCCCAGATTTTTCAGTTCTTCACATGACACGAGTTACCAACAAACCACCTGCTGCACTTAAGTAACTTGATGATGTTGGTGAATCAAGAGACAGAGGTCAAGAAGCTGCATTGTCTTCTCAGGAAGCTAATCTCTGTTGATTGCTGTTGCTTTCTGATCTCTTAGCCACCGACTCCAAGGCTGAAAAGCACCCCCAAAACCTTTTCTCACAAAGACATGTGAGAGCTGCCTTTGTAAACCCGGTGATTGCTTCTCAAGAAGGTGGCTATTGTTTCTCTGCCCAGATAAGTTGATAAGAAGGATTCCTTTTAAGGAGGTAACCAGAAAGCCTTGATAATTTGAGAGCCAAATTTTGCTCACCTCTCAAGAACAGAAAGGTCTGTACTCAGTGAGAGTGCTGCTTTGGTTTTGTTATTTTTAATTTAAATAGCCTGAGGAAGGTCTTCAGCTCTGAGAAATTTTCCCCAGGTTTACAGAATCAGTATTCAGCTGTTCAGTATTAAAACTGTGATGTGAGGAGATGAGACTTTTTACTGTGAAACAACTTTTTTTCCTCATAACTGGTGAATGGAAAGGGGAAAATTGCAGTTGCTTGGTGTTGGTGACAGATTTGGTGGTGGTGGTTTTTAAATGGAACCTTATCAATGGACAGAAACCCAGAGATTCTTTGATAGAATGATTTGGTACCAAAACAGGAGTTTATTTCCTTTTTCATTCATTTAGTGCCTGAAAACTACTGATTAAGGGTATATTAATCTGCATAGCTAGCTTGCAAACCAAGACACCTTTCTCTGCTAGGGCTGAATTTGACCCTCCCACCCACAGAGCTGGTTCAGTGGTGCTGTTTGTAACAGAGGACATCCCTCTGAAGAGGTGGCTTTTGAAGAAGACCTAGTGCCCATGTAGGAAACAAACCCAGCCTGGTTCTTAGGCAGGAAGTGGGAGAGGCTGTTACTTCATGGCCATAGCAGATCTGCCTGGAGATTTATCCTCACAGAGTGCTTCAAGTTAGCTCCTTTCTCTTTGCCTGTCTTGCCTAAGACTGTCTGTAGTTGAGCTGACCTTTAAAATTTTTCTTTACTGATACAACTCTTATGAAAGAAGTCAGTGACTTGGCAGCTCTGCCCTTTTGACCAATCCTTTGTGTCCTCTGCAGGCAGCACAGGTATTTCAAAAGTCAGCCTTTATTCCACAACTTAATGTTATGCTCTTCCTCTTGTGGTTCCAATAAAGCTAAATAAAACAGAAGACTGTTTTGATAAGGGGAAATGCATGTCTGAAAAAGGAAATTAAGCTTTGCAGTTATTAACTTCAGTATTCCATCTTAAAAAATAATCTTGCTGTGTATTTAAGAGCTCTTTGAGCTGCAGAAGGAGGGCAGTCCTGCAGAAGGGCTGCCATGCTGTGACCCACAGAGGGTTTGTGCCAGGTATTGTACTGTCTGACAGCTCTCATGGAAAGAGCCTGCAATTCCACAACCACCAAAAGCAGGAGGATGTGACTTCCTTTTCCTCCCATCCTTCCTTCCCCAGAGCTCTTATTTACACTGTCTCATCTCCTCCCTTGTCCCAGCTTTGGCACTTGCTCGTGCTTACACACCAGAACTTGTGACTTCTATTCTGGGGCCTGTTCTGTATTATTTGGGGTCTGATGTGTGCTGATGTGCTGTAGGGTGATCCTAGCTAAGAACTGGAGGCTGGAAGGGAGTGCAGAAATACACCCATTGGTGGCACTGGATTGTTCAAATCTTTTTATCTGAGTAACTGAACAGGCTCCTCAGTATTGTTGTCTTCTTCCTTCTCCTAGCAGTCTGCTGTAGGAGCTTCCTGGGCTTGAAGCTGTCTCAGCATTATGCCAGATAACTCTTGGTGGTACTGTTGGCCAGAACCATTCTTCTTGTTCTCATTCTGAATTTGTCTCCATGCAACTTCCAGGAGAGGCAGTGGGAATTCCCTGGGTTGTCTTAAGATTTTGGGTTTACTAGTTGTTATCATGATTTGCTTCATTTTCTCCCTTCCATAACAATTCTTAGCACTACCTTTTTGAACACTCTGAACTTTAATGTCTTCCAAGATCATTGCTTTGTAGTCTCAAGATCTTCTCTTGGTGGTACCAAGCTTTGCCTGTCTGCACGTATGTTCTTCTCTTCAGTCTCCTCTAAGCACTGCTGAATAAAAATGATTTCCACCCCAATCCCTGTAATTTGAGATTTGTCTTTCACAAAATTATTTCGCAAATCCTTCCTTGAGCAATATTCTGCCTTAAATTGGTAGATTTATGTGTTGTCTTCTGTGCTTGGTTGTGTAATGAGGGGCATACTCTTGAAATCTTGGTTTCTGCGTGCGTGAGACTCGAGTGTGGACTGAAGGAGTGTTGTAATAGCATGAGCTAAAGACAGGCAAAGCAATGACTGTGTGACTAACTTGTCTCCCCACCCACCCATATCATCTTTTTCCTTCTTCTTTTGGTCCTTGTGCCACCAAGAAATTGTTTCTATTTTCAGTGAGCTGTGCTAAAGCAGTAGGAGAAGAGAGTAGTGGGGAGAGAACAGAGAACTTGTGTTGCTCGTGCTGCTGGAGCTGGTTATGGTGGTTGGTGAAAGGCTCCATTCATGGGCTGTCATTGTCACTGTCCTGCATGGACTCAGCTGAAGAGGCTGCAGAGAAGTTTGGAGTCTGCCATCTGGTCTGGCACAGTACAGCATCACCCCCCCAGCACGATGGGGTCCTTTATGTCTGTAACCCAGTTTGCACAGCTGAGAGGTTCTGCCTTACATGCAAAGATAATGCACAGCTTAGAAGTTGGTCATGCTACATAATTTTAGTTAGTTATTCACTCATTTTTACTGAAATTCATTGTAGTTTTAGACTTGATGTATAAAAGGTGAAAAATAACAGGGAACTGGCTGCCAGTGCACTGAAACTGGGACTTCTTTGGTTCAGGTGGCAGAGAAGGCAGCAGTATAGAATAAATATTATTTATTTTGGGGAAAACAAAGGAGTTTTGGGAGCATGACAATAAGGGTTGTACTGCAAGCTCAGCACACATAGCAATACAGATTTGCCTAATAATAGCTGTGAGCTAAGGTGGAAAGCTTGAAATGGATGCAAGGACAGACAAGGTTTGTGTTCCACAGCACTTTTGCTTTGGTTCTCATATGGACACGTTGTCACTAAAATAATATTTCATGTGCAGATGCTTTTCTACCTATCAAAGATTATTGCCTCATATGGACACGTTGTCACTAAAATATTTCCTGTGTGGTGGCAGAATACAGGTGCTTTTCTGCCTATCAAAGATTATTGTAGTTCATGTTTTGTGTGTGATTAATAAATGTTGGTATAAAAATATGGTATGAAAGTGCAGTTAAGGGTTTCTGTATGCAGAGAAATCAGCCCCTGATATATATGGTCCTTGGTTAGGCAATAGTGTCTTAAATAGAATTGGATTACTGACTGTCAGATATTATTTGTAGGTGATTTAAGGAGCA